AGCCACTCTCCCACTCTCCTCAATCCATTCCACTTCTGTGCTCACGGCCACAGACATTCAGTGATCTAATTATTCTTTCTATAAGATAATGCACCATATATATGGTGCATTATCTTATAGAAAGAAAAATTAGATCACTGAATGTCTGTGGCCGTGAGCACAGAAGTGGAATGGATTGAGGAGAGTGGGAGAGTGGCTACTAGTGCAGTAGTTCTTTCTATGGATGAAAATATTCTAAAATTAATACTAATAGTTGTTTTGATTATTACCAATATAGAGCAATTATATACTGTTAAATGGATGAAACTTATTCTTTGTAAATTGTATCTCAATAGTCACGTTTAAAATTAGGAGTTGTTCCACATGTTACAGTTATGCAACATGAGAACTCTGGACATCTCTTGTACAGCAGAGTGGCTGTATTTGACAATGCAGGCTCATATACTTATGTATTTGTTAAGAGCTTAGACTTCCTACTGTGGTTTTAACATACATATACATTCACACACAGAACACAGGAAAACAAGGAAACTTTTGGAGTTGATGGATATGTTTATTACCTTGATTTGGCAGTTGTATGATAGGCATAAGCATATGTACAAAGCCAAATAACCATGTATATCAATTATGTGAAGTTTTAAATGTATCAAGTATACCTCAATAAAGCCATAAAACTAAGAGTAAATGGGTGCCTAGCACATGGCAAGCATTCCATAAAAATATAGGCTATAACTTTAGGAGAGTGCCAACCACACTTCTGTGGCCAGCTCGCTCCTCTGCGTGGTAAAGAGAGGGTTTGTCAAAGGTGACTGAAGGTCTGACAACCTGGGAGGGAGCGGGGCTGGCAGAAGGGAGGCTCCAGACAAGGAAGTGCATTCTGGGGGAGGAATGAGGATGCTCCTGGGGGTGCGATGAATATCTAACTGGTAAAACCTATTGAAGATTAATTTTTAAAAAGTGCATTAATTGGTGTAAGAGAATGATTTTAGGTAAATAAATGATCAGTCTCCCTGGTACTATGATAAACAACTGAGAGATTCCCTCCATAGGAGTTAGGGGGTTTAATGGGTCAATTGATAACATCATATGAAGTGAAGGGGAGATTGGATAGCAAAGTAAAATTAAAAAATGACATGGTTATAAAGGTGATCTCTTACAGGTGCCTTCAGAAGACATACCCGTCCCAGCTCCCATCGCTCAGCGTCATCCTCATCTTCATGGACGAAGCCCTGTCCATCATACTACGGGCCATCACTAGCATCATTAACCGGACTCCTTCACAAGTGCTGAAGGAAATCATCTTGGTGGATGATTTTAGCTCAAATGGTGAGCAACTTGAGCCAAGAAAATATGTAAAAGTGGCTATTTGTGCTGACAAAGGTTTGCAGTTTAGGGTTTACTATTGTTAACCTTGAGCACTTTTATAAGAAGCCAGAATTAGATTATAAAGCCAGAGATTTGGGATAGTGTTACAACAATTTTTCTAGCTATGTGGGCCCTGAAGGGCTGGCTCATCAAAGACAGAATTTTCTTCTTCTCTGGGGATTTCTAAGTTTCATGTAAGTTATTTAGGTCTCTCTGCAGAGATAAAAAAGACACAATGGCCACTTAACCCCTTCCTTTTTGGATGTCTAGACAGTAAGATAATACTTATTTTGTTCCTTTATATACCTCCTAGTCAAGTCCTTCCAATATAAGTAAAAGAGAAATAAGAAAGTAGAATTTTCTGGGTGTGATGGTGCACCTCTACAACTCTAGCACGCTGGTAGGCTGAAGCAGACAGATTGTAAGTTCAAGCCAGGTGACTTGGTGACTTAGCACAACCCTGCTTCAAAATTTTAAAAATAATTTTAAAAAAATTGGTGGGGATACAGTACAATGGCAAGAACTTGGAATCAATCACAATTACCAAAAAAAAAAAAAAAAAAAAAATGGAAGAGGTACTAGAGAAGAAGGGGGAAGAGGAGGAAGAATTTCAAATTTCTAGAGCACAATCCCACTAAATAAACAAAAGAGAATAGCTTTTGTTTCATTCAGTTCTGGGCATGAAGACTGACAGAAGATCATGCGTGTCTTTGCTGGCAGGAAGGAAGGAATTCAGATGCAAAGCGAGGTGCTCTGGCCCTGCCTTGCTGTCTGTGATGAGCCAAGGCAAGTCCTCACACCTCTTTGGAACTTAGCTTCTTCAAAGGGTGATACGCAGGACCACTGCTTTTAGTTTTAGGGGGTGATCCACACAAGGATTCTATAGTGCCATGGTCAATAGGGAGTAGATAAAACTTAATTGAAACATTTTTCTGTGGAATAATAAAACAAAATAATAAGAAAAATGCAGCATAGGATTATAAACACAGGGCAGGCACATAAGGGGAAGCCAAGCAGAACTCTATTGTTCTAAACTCTGTCACTACCGGCTGCTATTTTCCCTCAAGGTAGTTTGAATGGACACAGAAAAGGGTATTGTTAGTTGTTCTTTGGCTGGTGTCACTAGGACTGGAGTTAGACTCTTTCATTAATTATGGAAATACTAGGTAAAAGGAGTGCTCCCTGGATCTATGTCAGAAATCTGCTCTGTTAAACTAAAGAAAATAATATACATAAGAGAAATTTACTATTCATGTGACTTTGTGGAAAGTTACTCAACTACTTCACACATCATCTGCACCTGAAATGTACCACATGGGGACTCAGTAGTACACGGAACATGCTCAGACCTGCCGCCATTGCTGCCTGCAAATGCCAAGGTCTTGCTCCATGCTGACCTCAGTTTTATTGGTAATGCTGGTGAAGCTCCTCAGCCTGGTATTAGAAATTTTCCTGTTCTTCTATCAGTAGAGTGGTGAGTCTGTAATTTTTTTCTCAATTTAGACAAATTCCACAGCCAACAACTCTTTATTAAGCATCTACCTTTTGTCAGAAAGAGGATTTCAGAGATTTTGAGAAGTTCCAATTTTAATTGGCAAGGAAAGACACGCTATGCAACCCACTTCAGTGTGTGAGTGATACAGGGGAATGAAACTCCCAACCCGAGGGGTACCTGGGCCAAGTTCATGTTCTCTAAAACTGAAGAATGAATTGTAGGAATAATGAAGGTTACGAAAAGAATATATTTATTGTGGGAAAGATGTGTCTTGTCCAAGAGAAGGACAGAAGGGGGACCTAAGGGGATTGCCTGGGAAGCTGTCTTTTCTAGGGAATTTTGTGGAGTAACATCAGGAGGAGAGGCAGGTCTAGGGTGGAAAACACTGGAGCACGCTAGGTGGGCATAAGGTGGGACAAAGCTATGGTCCGCCAATAAGATTACAAGCACAATTGCTCAGTAAAGTCGATTAAATCCAGGAACAGATGAGGTAGCAAGTCACATAGCAAGTGGGTGTGAACATAGAACAGGGGCTTTTCCTGTAGGGGTTGGTTAGTGAATCTCTCTAGCTTTTAAGTGATTGACACCTGCTTAGAATATCAGTCCCTGAAGCCCATCCTTAGGGTGTGTGTGGCTGCATTTGTTTACTCTTTTGTTTTGAGGTCTGGCCCACAGCAGAGGTGTCTGTCTCTCCCAAAGTTGCAAAGTCATCTTGTCTTCCATACTGTCTTCTTGAGGGCTTGACCCTGTCTGGCTGCCTATAATATTTCCTGCTAATTTAGCTGCCTACAACATGAGGAATGGTAGGTCAAAGCAGGTGATATAACCAGATGTATCCTTCTGTGCAGGAAGGGCCAGAGCACAGCGGGGTTGATGGAGGCAGGCTTTCTCGAGGAAGAGAGCTTGGGCCAGCACCTAAGAAGTGGGTAGGATTTGAAAAGGCAAAGTAAGTAAGAGAAGCTTGGAGGCTGGAGTAGTGTTAGAGAGTGGAGAAAAGACTTCTGTGAATAAGGATATGGAATCCCAAAGCACCCTGACCCAGTCAGTGTGGAACAAAATGTTTGGGGAGGGAAAAGTAGGAAAGATGATCAGAAGGGAGCATAGGTTTATTTTAAAAGATCTGAAGGAGCATCTTCAATTCTCAGGCAATATTTTTGAGAAGGTGACTGTTTATTTGGACTTAGAAGGTTTTTTTTTTTTTTTTTTTTTTTTTTTTTTTCCTATTTTAGGGAAAGGTCTACAGGATGTTCAGGGTCTTACTACTAGATCAGACTTGTGATTCTCCTGCTTACAGCCACCTAAGGGCTGGGATTACAGGCACGGGCTGCCACACCCAGTCTCAATTGCTGGCTCAGCATGCCTGGGGGCAGGGCTGGCAAAGGAGGCCAGGGAATTGAACCCCCGACTTCTGCGCCTGCTTGCAGGTGTTTTGATCCTCCGAACTATTTGGCTGGCCCTATAGAAGGGTTTTGATAGGTGATCTGGTTTAGCCCTCTAAATTGAGGAAACAGATACACCCAAATGGAAGCGACACAGAATTAGGTAGTGACCAAATTAGAATCTATGTCAACTCCTGGTGGGCACAGGGGTGGTCACCTTCATGTCCTGTACTTCCCACAGTTCATTGCCAGGAGGAGCCAACAGCCTCAGATTCACTGACTCTCTCTCTCTTTCTCTCTTTTTTTTTTTCACCTTCAATAATCGATTCAGTCACTCCCAAGCACAGCTGGGAAAGTTCTAAATTCAGGCAAATTTTAGTGACACAGCCATGTGGCACTCTTTCCAATTCCAGGTCACTCCAGGTCTCACAGATGTGCTCCCTTTTGGGGGGCAGAACAGGCAAGAATTTCATTCAGTGAGGAGAGAGGAGATGGGAGAGGGCTTGGAAGAGCCGACCAGGAAGGAGCACAGCTCTTGAGCAAGATGAGCTGATGGGCAGAAGAAGTGTGGGTTCACAGGCCAGTTACAGGCTGTGCCTTGGAAAAGCTTTTCTTCTCTGCACCAACTTAGTACCTCAGTGTCCTCATCTACAAGATGGAGACGCTGCAGTTTCTTCCTCAGAGGATTCTTTGGGAATGAAGTGAATCAGTATTGTCAGCAAATAACTTAGAATGCCTTGATTGGGTGTTTTGTACACTTGTTCAGTGAATTTCCACGCAAAGTTTTCATCTATGCAAAGGAGGTGACTGGTCAGTGGAGTCAGAACAGAAGCACGGATAGGCTTTATAAAAACAAAGGGGAGAGAAGGAAGAAAAATATTTATAATCAGCCTGTAGGTAGCGACTCCTGTTTATGTGTTTTTGAGGAGTGAACTCTAGCTGAAAGGTAGCAAAATTTCAGCCTGTGTATTCTGTTCTAGTCAATCCTGGAGCAGGCCAACAAGGAGTATCTAAAACAAAATTTTCAGCTGTTCATTGCCTCTCCAAAAAGTTTTGCAAGTTCAGCTCTGGAGATGTGCTAGGAAAAACTACCTTCGTAAAGGTAGGTCTGTATACTCATTCTTCCAAGAATGTCTCCAGGGGCTGGCACTAACGTGGTTCAGCTGCGAGGGAAAGGAAGTTAGGAATGGTAATAGGAAACCTCCAGGTAGAAAGGAGGGCAGGGCAGAAGCGGTGTGAATGCTGCTTGTCATACATTGAGGCTGTGAAGTTGCCCCTTCTATTCTGGAGGGGTCCAATCAGTGACCTACACTAGCACGAAATCTCTGCCCCACAGTGTTCATTGTGCACGGTTTTTCCATGGATGTGTGTTTGGCTGGCAGGAGAACTAAAGTCATCCTTGGATGAAAAGATTGAGTTTTACAACCAGATGTATCCTGGACTACTGAAAATAATCCGGCATACGCAGAGAAAAGGCCTGGCTCATGCACGCAACACGGGCTGGGAAGCTGCCGGGGCCGACGTGGTGGTCATCCTGGACGCTCACGTGGAAGTAAACGTTGGCTGGTGAGGTTCCGGAAAGGTCTCCTCGGAAAGGGCAGGACGGAGATCATACGTTAGCACGGAACACAGGACAAGGGGTTGCGGGAATAGACAAGCCAACCGAGACCTAAAGCGGAGGGAAGATTTACTCAGCATTTTGGCTGGCTAAGAGAAACAGTGCAGTGTCGCAGAAGAAACAATGGGCAGGGCTATGGACAGCTAGATCCTGCACCTGGCCTTGCTAAACACTCTGTGACTTTAACACTCACTTCACTTAATGAGACACTTTTGTCTTTACCTGTAAACTGCATAAACCTTCTCAATCTAAGTTCCTAGAGATTTTCTCAGTCCTGAGATTTCTATATGCTATAAAGATTAGATGAAGAGCACAGAGAACCACACAGACCAAAGAAATCATTTTGGAAAGGGGTCCAGGTGATAGGAGAAATTCAGACAGAATGCTGACCGCAGTCCTTGTTCCCAGCAGCCTCAGCGTGGCTCTGGAGTACCATCTGCTCTTGACATGGGTCAGTTGCTCGCCGCCCCAACTATCTTGCAAGCTGCAGAATTTCTGGGGCCTCTGGGGAGCTCCTCTCACTGGCCTGCATAGCTGGAATGAGAAGGCAGGCAATGCCTGGCCAGTAACGGAGCAGCTCTGCCTAGCTGTGCCTGCTGCTTGCCTGTGCCTTCAAGCTGGGCTTTCTGCTTGGCTTCTTCCAGGGCAGAGCCCATCTTGGCTCGGATTCAGGAGGACCGCACTGTGATTATTTCTCCTGTGTTTGACAACATTCGGTTTGATACCTTCAAGCTGATGAAGTATGCAGTGGCGGTGGATGGGTTTAACTGGGAACTGTGGTGCCGCTATGACCCAGTGCCACAAACCTGGATTGCTCTGGATGATGTCACTGCCCCAGTGAGGTACATTTGCATAGGTTCTTGGGCTTTGGTCGGCGTATGGGGGGGGGGGACCAGGGATAAGTGTGTGAGTTCATGTTTGGTGGTAGGAATAGTGATGGGGTAGAAAAATGGATGAGCTGGTTAAAAAATAAGCAGTTAGAAGAAATAAACCCAGAGAAGAAATTTGGGGTCATTTAGGGGGTTCCAGACCCAAACCAAAGTAATGTGTATTTAATATTTTAGAAGATACCTGGGCCACTAAAAACATTATAAGGCTATGAAATTGGGATACTGAGATGAAGCTGCAGATTCAGTATAATTTGAGAAAATGTATAATAGCACAGTGGGCAGGAGGAGGCTGCAGCATTCAACCCCCGCCTGTGGGTTTGAGGAAGGCCTGCATCATCAGAAAATGAGGAGGTGGAGTCCCAAAAACCAAGCTGTCACTAGGCCTCCCAGCCCTCACCTCATCGGACCTGTTCCTCATGGAGGGGTTGGTGACTGGCTCGCTGTGTGCTTTCCAGGAGCCCTTCCATCATGGGCATCTTGGCTGCTGATAGGCTCTTCCTGGGAGAGATCGGAGCTCTGGATGACGGCATGCTGGTCTACGGGGGAGAGAATGTGGAGCTCAGTCTGAGGGTATGTACACCTTCCTGCTGTTTGTGGGACAACGCAGAAGGAGAGTGTGTCCGGCAGTTCTCCATCCTGGCGACCTGAGATAAACACCTGAAAAGAAGCAGTGTTTATTTTGGTGCATGATTCTAGGTTTTAGTTCATGGTTCTTGGCCATCTGGCCCTTGGTCATGGAGCGAGGCCAAGCATCCCTGGAAGCGCACAGTGGAGGGCGCTATGCAGGGATGGCAGCTGGGGAGTAAAAGGCTGAGGAAGGTTGGAGTCTCGGCAGGGCTTCACCAGCACGCCCACTGGGGGGTCTAACGTCTAACTATTCAGATCCACTTCTTAAAGGTTCCACCACCTATGGTGCCATAGAAGGGCAGCCAGCCTTTACCATGTGGCCTTTGGGGAACATGTAAGATCCAAACCATAACAGAAAAAATAACAAGAAGGTGGCAGACTCTCTGGAATGCTAGAAAACAACTTTTGGCTCAAGAAGGGGCCACATTCTATTGTTTCTGGGTCACTGACCAAGAAGGAATTGACAGTGGGATTCCTGGAGTGCAGCTTTTTGATGGAGGGCCACGTCATTCGGGAAGTATGGTGGGGAAGGTAGAGCTGAGGCTGAGCAGATGCTGCCCCACTTTTCCCTGAGGATTCCACATGCTTTCCGAGCATCTCCTGTCTTCTTTAGCAGAAGACAGCTCTCTGTAAGTTCAAAGACTGAGGAAACTGGAGCGGGCAGAGGGAGGAAGGAATGCAGATGTGCAGGCAGAGGGCTGTTTCTATGTGGACTGGGGAAGCAGCAAATACAGTGGCATGTGTCTGTGCTGGGACAGTCTAGGAGAACTCTCAGGGGTGGATGCCACATTGAAATCTTGCATCCAGTCCTCATTCTCCGAGGCTTCGTGTGTCTGGAGCAATCCTGGCTTCACACCTCAAGGAAGAGGCCTCTTGTTTGCTCCTGGCAGCTTCTCTTGATTGTTTAGGTCAAATGCACAGCCTGAGTTTTTATGCTCTATAAGAGAATTTGGGTCCAGAGAAATCCAAGTGCAGACTCCTTAATATTGCAAAACAGTAACAGCAAAAGCTGCATAACAACCCATCCCAAACTTGTTGGTTTTAAGCAGTAATAATTGATTCTCACAGATTTGAAGGTCTCGCCTAGCTTGGAAAGGGTGCTCTTTTCCACACATGTTTAATCTGGGACTCAGTCTGATGGGACAGCAGATATCTAGGGACAGTGGTCCACCAGAAGTCCAGTGGAAGCACAGGAGGTCTGCTGAGGCTTAGAGTTGGAAGCATCAGGCTGTTGCAAAATAGTCCACATGGCCAAACTCAAAGTGACACGAAGCATTAGAGTTGATGAAGTCCACACATTACAATTGTTAAGAACAGATTTCTTGCCTTCCACAATGTTTTATTTTTATTTTTTGCAGAACCGGGGATTGAACTCAGATCCTTGCATTTACCAGTCAAGTGCTTATCCTACTGAGCCATCTCCCCGGCCCCTCCACAATGTTTTAGTTACCTTCCCAGGCTCTGGGACACAGTAGCCGACAGCCACTATTAATGGATCAGGGTTTAATTTGCCTCATGATTAGAATCCAGGACCGGCCAGCTTGGAGGCAGGACAGCATGGTGAGGAGCCAGTGGGAGAGAAACCCTTTCAGGCCTCAGTCCAGTGACTGTGATTTGCATGTCTGATGGTTAGCCAGCCTGAGCATTTTCTTCATTGGATCCTGTCTCCAGGGAGAAACCTTGAAGCTGCACGGGGTGTTCTCTTCTGACATCTAGTGGCCACAGCAGTGCTGGTGCCCACAGATGTGTGCAAGTGGGGATGAGGAAGAGGAAAGTCAGAATTTGTAAAGTGCTTACACGGCAGGAGCTTTACCTGGGCTGGCTGGGCCCAGGCCTTGCCATAGATCCGCTGATACCCACGGGCAAGGCACCTCGACAGGGACGACAGTCAGAGCTGTGTGGCGAGGGCTGACTTCATGAAAAGAGTAGGACAGTGTGTGGCAGACAGTCTGTAAGTAGTTTTATGTCTGTGTGCACGTGTCACAGTGAGATGGAAGGGTAGCAAAGCGGTGGAGAGGGAAAGAACAGGGGGATAGGGAGTGAAGAAGAGGGAGAGAAGAGGGGGGATTTAGCAACTGAAAAAACGCTGAGAAAGTAACATTTGAAAACTGTTGGGCAAAGATAATCAGTAAGTTCGCTTCATAAATGCAAGTTCTGACTTTTAATTTGCATCTAGAGTTTCTTGGGCCCACAGATGATTTTTCTCCCCCAAATTTCTATGAATTAGAAATTTTCATCTACTAGGAAAACTGAAGTGAAATTTTATCTGGATTTCTATCTGCATGACCACAGGAAGAGAAAATTGGATACCACCTCCACATGATCCTAGGGAATATGAAGGAAAAATATAGCAGGGTAACAGGAGAAAAAGTGTGACTCAGGGTGCTCCCGGAGGCTGCTGCAGTGTGTGCTTATAGGTCCCCTGGAGCTCTCTGTGGGCCCAGGATGTTGGGCCTGTTCTTTCTGCAGATGAGCGGGTTGGGGCTCACATAAGGGCAAGTGATTTCCCCAGATGCCAGACCTGTGGTCCAAAGTCAAGCACAGATCAGTCTGGTGTCCAGGTCTGGCTTTTATCCTCCATTATTCTAGGTTGTTGTAGCACTCCTTGGCCTCTCTCTGTACCCTGGGGAGAAACAGTGGCAGGAATGAGGAAAAGACTGGCAAGAAGACAAGAGCTGGGTCAGGGGACCCATGGCTTGATGGGCAAACTATCCCCAGAACAACAACAGGGGCACTGATTTATGCCTTTGCAAAGTTAGTGTCACTTGACACAAGGTTGACATGAACCAGGCAGGATGCTTTTCTTGGTCAAGTAGCTTGACTGCTTTAGGCACTGAGTCCTAGTCCTACTCTCACACATGTGACCAATTTCTAGCTTCAATAGCTCTCTACAGTTTATGAGATGCTAGGCAGAGGGATCCATGAGTTAGTAAGTGGAGAAAGAGATGAAACATTTGAAAGTCGAACAACTCTTTGGGACTCTTTAAGAAGTCACTCTTTTGATGTCCTCATGCCAACGAAGTCAGCAGAGTCCAACTACTCACCCTCATCTCAGGGGTGGCAACTGGCCTGAGTGCAGTAGACTGCTGCTTGGGAGCAAATTAGCTCCCAAGACCTGCAAGTCACCTGGACACAGGCTACATGATCTCACCACAGCATGATAAGATAGTTCTAGTGTCCATGGGGATGAAAATGTTTTCTAAGGCCAATACTAGAACACATATTTTGAAGAGTATGTTTGTACCCATTGAGGTAGGTCATATGGAAGAACATTTATAAATCATGGTAGCTTTTGCATTGATATCTATTACTGAGTAACAATATTATCATGAACCTAGTGTCTTAAGGCAAGATGCATTTTTTATCCTACAGTTCCTGTAGGTCAGGGATCTGTAACTTAGCTTGGTCCTCAGTCAGTTTGGAGCCACTATGTAGACCAGGACTGGGTTCCAACAGAGGATGAACTGGAGAAGGATCTGATTTGAGGACTACATGACTGATCATAGTCCTTAGTTCCTTCATGTCTTCCACACTGAAAGATCAATCAGTGTTTGATGCGTCAGTTGGAAGCCACTCTTGGCTTCTTGCCTTGTGGCCCTCCTAGTAAGGTAGCTCACAACATTTTGGCTGGCTTGTTCAAAGTCCATGAGAGCCTGCCTCGCAGCCAGGTGGGCACTTCAGACTGGTGTCATGTAAACACACATTCTGTAACCTCAGTCATATACTGTTGGTCATAGATAGTCATAGGCTCACAATCAGGGAAAGGAAATTAGGCAAGGGTGTGGGCCTGGGGTGGAGTAGTCATGGAGGCCACCTCGGAGTCTGTCTGCCCCTGGCCCTGAATCTGTCTTGCAGGCAGAAAGGCTCTTGGGAAGCTAAGTCTAGTGAGAAGGGCTCAGGACAGTACCTCTCAGGGCTTAGGCACTTGGGACTGAGGGAACAGAGGTGCCCCTCTTTGGGCTATTTTAGGAGAACTTCTTGGAGGAGGTGAAATTTCATTATCTGTTTGATGATAGGAGAGAAGCACTTAGGTAGACTCTTAAGAAGGGATAGTTTAAGTAAGAAAGTGAGGCAACCTACAGATGGGAGTGCAAGGACACAAACTAGTCTTTAAATAATTTTTAGGATTGCTCTGTGAGTCACACAGTTCACCGACTGTGGAGCCAGCCCACCCAGACGGTTCCTCCCTTCTCTTGCAGGTGTGGCAGTGTGGAGGGAAGATTGAGGTCTTACCTTGCTCCAGAGTAGGTCATCTGGAGCGACATCACAAGCCCTACGCCTTGGATCTAAGTTCTGCCTTGAAGCGCAATGCCCTGCGTGTGGCCGAGATCTGGATGGATGAGTACAAACACATGGTCTACCTGGCCTGGAACTTACCACTTCAGGTTTGTCATGGGCTGAATAGAAGCTGAAGAGAATGGAGAATGGAGGAGGTGGTGGTAATGGTGGGTGGGGAAAGGAAAGGAGTAGGAGAAATATGTCGTCCAAGTTCTAAAGCATTCAGGTTATACCCAGAGGGTACAGCAACAGTGACATTTTGCACTTATACAACAATGCTGAATTCCAGACACTTATTTAGTTACTTATTTTTTACTTTCCGTATTCATTTTATTGTGTTTTCTAGATATACATAATGACCACATTTATCATAAGAAATTTGTACCTGTATATGATATATCTTCTGTTTTTCCCATTCCTCTCTCTTCCCTTCAAATCTTCTTTCCCTCCTTATTTACAAGAGCTTTGTTCCCATTTTTCCTTCTATTCTTTCTTTTTACAGCTTTCAGTTTTTGACCATTTGGTATGATGTTGGCTGTTGGTTTGTCACAGGTGGTGTCTTAATTGCTTTTCTCTCATTACTGAGACAAAATACCTGACACTCAAAGTTAAGGAAGAAGAGGTTGTTTATTTGAGCTTGCTCTGTTTTCCTAATATAAGTGTTTATTGCTATAAATTTCCCTTGTAGGAATGTTTTCTCCTTGTCCAATAAGTTCCAGCTTGTTGTACTGTCATTATCATTTAACTGTAAAAACTGTATAATTTCTTCCTTAATTTCAGCTATAACCCATTGGTTGTTCAGGAGGTGTTTAATTTCCACATATTTATGAAGTTCTTATGTTTTTTTTTAAACCATTGGTCCAATTTCACTGCCCTATGATCTGATACGTATGAGATAATTTCAATTCCTTTGTATTTACTTAAGCATGTTCTCTAAGCTAGTATGTGGTCTATTTTGGAGAGCTACCTGTGTGTATCAGAGAGAATGAGTATTCTGATGTTGTGGGATGGAATACTCTGTAGACATATATTAAGTTCATTTGTTCAAAAGTTGATGCACCTCTGATATTTCTAGTTTATCTATTTGTGACAGCAGGGTACTGAGGTTTCCCACTACAATTGCATTAGTGATTATTTGATTTTTTGTATCCATTAATATTTGTTTTACATAGTTGGATGCACTGGTGTTTGATATATATATATATATATATGGCTATGATTATTATCTCTTCCTCTTGGATTGTACATACTTTACAAGGATGTAATGATCTTCTTTGTTTTTCTTGATCAGAGTTAGTTTGGAATCCACTTTATCTGCACATAGAATAGAAAGCCATGCTTTTTTTCTCTGTCCTATCACATACAGTATTGTTTTCCATCTTCTTACTTTTAGTCTGTGAAGTTCTTTTTGAGTTATATGTGCTTCTTGTATGCAGGCTATTGTTAGGTCTTGTTTCTTTGTCCATTCTGCCAGTCTGTTTCTTTTCACTGGTGAATTAAGACCATTTACACTGATGGTTATAACTGACATATATCGACTTATCTTTGCCAAATTATGTTTCTGTTTTTTGGTTCCCTTTCTTTCCCCTCTGTTTAATTATTTGCCTTGCCTGGTTGATTGGTTCTCTTGGGGTCCATGAAATTGTAGTCTTTGATATGTCTTTCTAGAATGTCCTTCAGAATATTTTGGAGTGCTGGTTTGGTAGTCATGAATTTCCTCAGATGTTGTTTGTCATGGAAGTATCTAATTTCTCCATCAATTTTGAAGAGCAGTTTTGTAGGGCACATCACTCTGGGTTGGAGGTTGTTTCCTTAGGGCTTAAAACATGTCAAGCCTTCCTTTAATTAACAGTTCACATTGAAAAGTCTGCTATAAGTCTTAAGGCATTTCCTTTATAGGTGTTTTGCTTCTTTTCCCTTACAGCTTTTAATATTCTGTTTTTGTGCTTCATTTCTGGAATTTTGACTAGTATATCCCTTAAGGTAGAACTCTTTGATCATGGCTAATTGGAATTCTACGTGCTTCATTTATCTGTGGTCTATTTTCCATGCTTGCAAAGTTTTCTGTCATTATTTCTGTGAACAGGTTTTTTTTTTTAATGTCATTTTCATTGTCTCCTGCTGTCTCATTGACTCCAGTCATCTTAGTTTGTTATTCTTCATATCATTTAGCATTTGTTGCATTGATTTTTTTGTGCATTGCCAAGGTCCAGCCTCAGCTTCCAGGGAACAACAACTCGAGGACAGAGGAAAGCAGGTGGTGAAGAAGAAAGACTCAGAGAAATACAGTGGGGTTAGGAGGGAAGAAGAGCATGTGTCTTCAACCCAGAGTAAAATCAGTAGCCTTTATTTATACATGAGTGATTACATAAGCTTTCTTCATGCAAGATTAACAGATGTGGTTTTCATTTATAAGTGAAAAACAATTTAAATTTTGATTAACATGAGTACACAGTATAAACTAGAAGTAGTCATAGAAACTTAATCAACCATTGTTCTTTCTGTGCTATTTTTGCCCTACGGAAACTCTGCTCTCCGGGGTACTTTCTTACTGCCTCAAGATCTTGACTCTAAACTTTCTTGTTATTGGTGAGTGTGCCTGGATTAGGCTTGTCCCATTCTTCAGGTTTAAGGTAGGAGACATGGAGTCAAACTCTAAGAACTTTATGCACTTAATTAAGTTATACCAAAAGCCTAGGTGATTAATTGTGTGCTCTCTTTCATGTGAATTATAAGCCTAACAATCCCCAGGGCAGTTGTGGAGACACATCCATATGAAGTTCTACTTTGCAGATTCTCCAAACATGACGTGACTTTGTCAGAGGCCAAGCTTTGCTCATGTTTGTTCTTTCTGCAGCATATACTTTCCATAGACTTTTAATCTCCCACATGTCTAATTGAATCTGTTTCATGGATTCCATTTCTTTCCTGTATCGGGCATTGGTGGCTTCCATCATTTTCCCAAGCTCTTATATTTTTCTATCTGTACTACTCTAGATTCATTAATAATGCCCTTCATTATGGTCTCCCTCTCTGAGGTTATCTAAGAAATTATTTCTGATTTAATTTTTTTCCCCAGAGCCCCACCATCTGCTTTATTATATCCACTGTTATCATCTCAGAGAGTACGGATAGGTGGTTTTCAAGTTGTTCCACCTGATTGCCACTTGGATTGGCTTTTGCTAACCTGGAAGTTTTGGATTATATCTTGCTTCTGTGTCTTCTCATTTTCTTTCGTTGTTTTTGTTTAATTTTTGCATTGATGTTTGTAAATTGTTTATGGTAGGTATCTTTATTGTTAGTATCAAGGACATTAGGAAGTGACTATTTCTCAGAGATATCTTTCAGGTGTAACTGGTTTGTGAGTTCTGAGTGTATTCCAAGATCCTATTTCTTTGGTTTATTAAAGATGAGAAGTTGCTGCCTATTTGACCTAGCTCCTGGCCTAGAATGTGTTTATGGCTCTCAGGCAATCTCATTCTTGGCACACAAGGCACAACAACTGATTAGAACAATTGTGTCACCTTGGATAAAATAGTATAATCAGTAATAACAATAGCATCACACAACCTAGAAAAATGACAAACTCTGGTAACAATTCATTTGCCACCTTTAGCCATATGAACAGTATTTGTAGTTATATAACAAAATCTACAACTAGCCACAAAATTGTATACAATTAGTATTTGTTCAACATGGTGATTGGAGGGAATTTAAAGGAGTTTTGGGGAAAAATAGACAAACAAGATGAGAAAGAGGTTAAAAGCAAGCTGGAGGACAGAGGCAGATTATCAAGCTTTGGGAATTGGTGGAGAAGACAGGAGAGAAAGACAGCAGGAAGAAACAGAAACAAACAAGAACAGAACAACAGCAACAAAGAGAGAAAAATGAAACAATAACAACAACAAAAACTAGAGACAAGGAAGAACAACTGATTAGAACAGTTGTGTCACCTTGGATAAAATAGTATATTCAATAGCATCAAACAACCTAGAAAAATGACAAACTCTGGTAACTTTTGAAGAAGTAGGATCTTGTATAAAATCAAGAATAATTCAGAAAGAGAGAAAAAATTGTTCTTTAAATTTATTTTATTTATTATTATCTATTATTATTTTTTGCATTTTGTACAAGGTCCACAGGGTCTCACTACATAGATCCGACTTGTAGTGATCCTTCTGTTTACCAAGTAGTGGGATTACAGGCACGCTCCACCACGCCAAGTCGCAACTGTGTCTCAGGGTGCCCTAGGGGCGGGGCCAGCACGGCAGGCCGGGGATCAAACCTCTGGCCCCTGTGTCTGCCTAAGCAGGTGTTTTAATCCGCTGAGCTATTTGGCTGGCCCTTTATTTTATTTTATTTTATTTTCTAAATTTAATAAGCAAAGAAAGGAAGAAAAGCAGAAAAAAGATCCACTTCAGGGCATGTCACTGTTAGAGAGGGGGCAGACAGAGTCCACATCTCTGCTGACCAATCTTAGCAAGCCAGAAGTAGAGTTACAGTAGCAGATGATCCTGGCTAACCTGCACCTTTAGTTCCACTGAAGTTCAAGATGCTTCCGGTTTCTAGCTGGGGGCTGGGACCTGGGCTGCACACTCTACAACTTTTCATGTGCCTCCTCCTGGCTTGAACTTGGCCCCTTGCTGGTTTGAACTCCACTTCCTGACCTGCTGGCTTGAACTTGGCAGCACCTTACCTTGACCCTGGCAGCCACTAAATGGAGCCAACCTGCAGCTGCCTTGCCAGCGGGGTTCAGTTGGCCCCCTTCCAAAATGGCAACCAGCCAGTCACCCGCACCTGGAGGATATCTGAACCTGAATTACCCACCGGCCACTGCAGCCTGCAGCGTCCAGTGCTCCATTCCACCGGTTCATTTCTCCATGGAGGCCTCTGGAGCGGCCAGTAGTCACTACGCATCTGCAGATTCAAGCTGTCTTCCCATATTTTGAACCAAGGCTCAGGGAGAAAGTGCCACTTGCCACCTCTCTCTTGTGCATTTCAGTCCCTCTCTTTGCTTTGCCTGTGAGCTCCAATTCTTGCTTCAAATCCTTTCTGGGTCCTTTAGTCCCACTTTCCTCCTTCTCTTCTTCACATTGCTGCATTCCAGCATCTAGATTCCAAATCTCAGAGGGGCAGTTTCCCTGTGCTCACCACTTTGCATCTTCTGGAAGTTCAGGCACTGTTTTATAAATTAACTCATGAATAGCCAGCTGTAGTGGTGCAGGCCTGTAATCCTAATCCTTGGGAGGTTTAGGCGGGAGGATTGTTGCAAGTTTGAGACCAGCCTGGACTACAAAGTGAACTCAAGGCTAGCCTGAGCTGCATGGTGCAATCCTGTCTCAAAAAAATAACTCATCAAGCACTGGACACACCTGGGGGATGCATTTCATAGACTAGGAAGCCAAGTCACAGAGGGTTGGAAGGGTTTAGTAGAAGGTAGCTCAGGTGCAGGTAATAAGTAGTAAAGATGACACTCAAAGTCTGTTTGTCATGTTTCTCTCATACTGGGGACTCTTCTGAGGAACAATTTTGGCCATCAGCTATCCCTGGTCTTAGGGTGGCACAAGCATGGCAGACAATGTGGCTTGGTGGGGTAGGCACTGTGATGTCACTGGAGACACTTGGATGAGTACAGCCCCTGTGGCTGAGTCCACATCTGCTGCCCTGGTTGCCTGAGCTGAAAGTGATGTGCTGCCGTCTACTTCCCTTGCTCAAGCCCTGGGCTCAAGCACAATGGGCATCCAGATAGCCATCCTCTCATCAGCAAACTCTCCTCTTCTACCATGCTGGATCTCACGAGTAGCTTCTAGAAGCCAGAGAGTCCTGGTGGTGGAGACCATGGAACAATTTAGGAGGGAAGGTCTGGAAACAAGATGGAGCTGGGCTACACATGGGGCACAGGATGAGGAGAAGTTAAATGTCTGCAGAAATGTCTGTACTTCTTCAGCATTCATAGTCACCAAAGCCCTCTTCTACACACACCAGTGCTCTGAGAAGCTGAGGCAGGAGGCTCCCAAGTTTCAACATAGAACCATGCAAAAACAAACAAACAAACAAAAACCCCAACCAAATGAAAGCAAAGAAAAGCAAAAAGCAAAGCAAAGAAAAACAAAACAAAACATAAAAACCCTTTATTGAAGTGCCAATAAGCTACAGTTAGCTTGTTGTTTGAAAATATAAGGAAGGCTTTGTTCTTGTGCCAGTAAACCAAGATATTAGAGGAAATATGTCCTCTCCTTTTGTTCTTCCCTCCACAGAGTCATGTTGGTGACTGTACCAATCTGTATAGGGGACTGTCCATAGCTCAGTGAATGGTCTACAGGGATAATCTGAAACGAACCTCAAAGGAAAGTTCTGGTGAAGGGTGGACACCCACTTGGTTTCTACATTTCCCTCTTAATTTGCCTCTTCCTTATCTTTTCACTTTCATTACTCACAAATATCACTTCTAGGGAATCTCCTCTAACCTCCAGATCGGGGTGCTAGAATTCCTTTTAAAGCCTTTTGCACCATCATGAGGGATATCACATGCCTTGTTAAAGCAAATATCATTCCAAATGGGAGGAATCTATGCAAAGGAATGAACCCAAGTGGCTTCCCACATGCAGGCTTTGCAAATGTCTGGAGCTGGCAGAGGTGCTAGGGTGCAAGGCTTTTCACTTTCTCTGGAAATATTAAACAAGGCTACTTTCTGGCCACCAGGATCATTCTCAGTTCCTTCACTTGCAGTCTCCCCCCTCTGTGCAGTGAAGGAGGGAAACACAGAATGAGGCACAGAGGCTTATGTGCTTTTTCTGTTTTCTTTTTCAGAACTCTGGGATTGACTTTGGAGACATTGCTTCCAAAAGGGTGCTCCGGGAGAAACTGAAATGCAAAACTTTTGACTGGTACCTGAAAACTGTTTATCCAGTTCTGAAGCCAATCCATGATATTGTGGGCTATGGAAGAGTATGTATTGTGAAATTACATTTTCAGATTTTAAAAGTTTGGTTTGTATAAGACAGAAAAATCCAGGTGACATGACTTCCCAGCTCAAGTTCACGTTGCCCAGGATCCCTGTTCAGCTCTATGCACCCTGACCCCCCCCTTTTTTTCTTGCTCTGGAATTCCTGCTCCTTTCCCTTCTCTGTGCTTCTAGTTCCTGGGCCAGTGGCAGCCCTCTCAGTTTCTCCCTAGCCCTCCTAACTTGGGGTACCACCGCTCCTCTGTCTGTTGGGGTGGTGGTGTGCACAGGAAGCATCAAGCAGCACCTGCCCTAAGCAGTTATCAGTTTCCCAGGGCTTAGCAAATGCTGCCAGGATCCCAGAATCCACTCTATTTGGCTGGTGGTTTCTTTTCTTTCCTTTTATTTTTCTCTCCCCTCCTTCCCTCTTTCCATCTCTTCTTTCCTTTCTTTTTTTGCAGTACTGAGAATTAAAGCCAGGGCTGTTACATACAGCTACAGCTCCAACCCTTTTTTGTTACTCTTTGAGACAAGGTTTCACTGAATCACCCAGGTTGGGCTGGAACTTGTGACTCTCTTTCTTGAGCCTCCCAAGTGCTGGGATTATCTGTCTAAGCTGGTGAGCTTTGTGCTCTTGTTGCTCAAGGAAGTTGCAGGGCCTGGGAAGGCTTGCTGCCCTCTTTCCCTGCCTCTTTCCAACAGTGTTGGCATGCTTTTTCCCTTCAGATGAAAAACTCCTTGGATAAAAGTGTCTGCCTGGATCGTGGACCCATTCCGGGCAACACACCCATCATGTATATGTGCCATGAGTTCAGTTCACAGGTACCTTCCTTCGACTCCTCCCCACCCAGACGGCCAAGTCTGTAAGGGTCAGTGCCTGGGAATCTCTGTCAGATTTAGACAGTGTTGGGGGATGGGGAGGCAGGGCCTGAGCATCCTGGCTAACAGGCAAGGGAGGAACCTTCATGAGGAAGCCCTTCTGGTTCACTCAGAGTCACAGACAAGACTGTCCCATTTTCAGGACAGGAATCTTGGCTACATTCCCTCTCTGGATAGTATTTCATTAGCAGTCACTTTTTGGCCCACCTCTTTCCCTCTCCTGCTCCTGTGTACTCTGGAAAGCATGCACGGGAAGCTGCCTGCACTGCTCTTTTAGAGCAGAACCAGAGGGCTGGAGATGAGAGAGGAGCTGGGAGTCTTTTCCCCAGGAAGAGGATCTGGCTCCAAGTGCAAGAATAGTCACATTGGTTGTCTTTGTGCGTTGCCCTCATGGGCCTCTTTTAAGGAGTTCTTGGTAATAGCTGCTTAGTAGCTGGAGAAACTGAGGTACAAAACCGCCTCCTGTCCACCTCACTCACCGAGTAGGCCATGTCCACTTGGAGTCTGTGAGAGGTTTCCTGCCTGCAAGCCCACCGCCAGGGCTTGCAGCGTCACAGCTTCAGCTGGGCTTTCCCTCAGCAGATCCCTTGTTCTCTTTTAGAATGTCTACTACCGCCTGACTGGGGAGCTCTACATAGGACCACTGGTCGCAGAGGTTCATGGGGATGACCTTTGCTTGACCGACCCAGGGCAAAGGGAGAAGCCTGCTTTGGAGCCGTGTTCCAAGGCAGCCCAGAATAAATGGCACATATATTGGGACTTTAAGCAGGTGAGCGACATGCTTTTTGTTGTTGTTTTCTGGTGCTAGGGATTGAACCTGGGGTGTTTCACACGTTAGGTGAGCATTCTACTGTTGAGCTACATTTCTAGCCCATCACGACCTTCAAGTACAGCTAGGGAGTGTGAAATGCAGGCTCCTGAGGCAGAGCAGGTAAGGTTGGAAATGCTGGTGCTTGAGAGAGCTTGGATGCAAATTCCAGCTCAGATGCCTTCTACATGCTCCTGCTCCTCTCTGAAGCCCAGTGTGTTCATCTGTAAGTGGAGGTAATGACACCTACTTCGCAGGCCTGCTGGGATAGCACTAGCAGCATGTGCGGTGGTGTCCGGTATGCAGGTGTGTTCATTCAGTATTAGCCACTGTCATTCATTTTTTTTTTTTTTATTAATGGTGATAAGACTGTGCTGAAACCTGACTAGGCTAAGTGTCATAGCCTTACCTTTTACTCCAACCACATACTATAAGGAGAAGGCACAGGAAGTTTGACAAATATCACAATTCATGTGACAGTGGCAGGAGGGGCTTGGCTGACCATGGTCTCCAGTGACTGCGTCTCTTGTTGGGGCTGCTCTTAAGCTTTTGTATTCTCAGGCTTCTCGGTAGGCTTGACATCTGGTGGAAAGACATTACAGTCTGCCCCACTCACTTGATGTTTAACATATCAATACTTGATGGAAAATACCTGTTCCATGTTAGGCTTAAGATGTTGGATATTCAGACAGATAGTGAAGTTAAACCCAATTGCATATGTTATAGAGTAATAATAAGCTTCTCTTCTGGATGGTTAACAAGCTAAGTCTGCAGGCCAAAAATTAGAGAAACAAAAAGGCTGCAAGGCCAGCCAACATTTTGGCCCTAGGCTTTCAAGGTCAGTGAAGACTCAGGACATAGGAAAACCTATACTGGAACATCAGGCAACTCAGTTGTGTCCCAAATTTTCTGATCAAGGAGATTATGGGGCCACAGAGCAATGTGATTGATGACATAGAGTGTGCCTAAGGAGAGTTTCATGGAGAGAAAACATTCTCTTAGGCTTTCACAGAGAGCAAATTGGTCAAGCAATGACCGTGATTCATCCACATGGCTGACACTGACAGAGGATCTTCAAACTGTGGTACAGAGTTACAGGATAAATCCTGAGGGTACTTGACTGACCTTATCAGATACAAAAGTTACATTTCTTGTTATACAGGTCTTGATTTATCTTGGTCTTAACCATCCAGCAGAAAAGTATAAAAACAAGGTATATAAAGTAAAGCCATATTAATATGCTGAGCTGTGAAAGGCTCGAGTCAACTTCTGTGGATAACCCACTACTATTGTGGACTGCTAGAATGTGTTGGATTGCTGTGCTGAATTCATGCACCTATAGTATTTAGATGCCAACGGAATACCCATTTCTGACAGGACTAAACAAAAAAAAGGCGATACAAAGGAATGACCATTTTGTATCTGTATATGCAGAATAGTTGGGATAGATATACAGCTACTTTCACTTAACTTAATGAGAAGAAAGATTTATACTAATAATGTTTGGACAGGATATCCTATCTGCATCTTGTACTATGGATAACCACTAAGAAGATAACAATGTATAATGTATTAATTTTTGAAACTGTCCTATTAATCAGTTTTGAAACTGTTTCATTGATATTTGTTTTCTCAACAAATAAATAAATAAAAAAAATCTGCCCCAATCATGCGCTCCTCTCTCTGAGCAAGGTGCTATTGCCTGTGGAAAAGCCTAACTTTTTCAAGCTAATGACCCCTTTGAGAATTTCCTGCTTGCTGTGGATTTTCAAGAAAAATATAAATATATACCTATGTGCAACAGTTTACTTCTGGAGTTCAGGCAACTTTTGCATCTTTGGTGAAGTCTCTTTGAATAAGATAGCACCAGCTGGAAGGAGGAGGGAAATGCCATCCCTGTCCCTGAGTCTGCATATAAGCTGCAGTGACTCAGACCCACCTGCGCTGCAGTAACAGGGTGTTCTCTTGCTCAGGCCCTGTTGCTGGGGTTATTCCTCTCCTTCCAGATCTTCAACAGGACTGATGCTGAGTACATGGGCTACAGGAGGGTGAGGTGCTAGAGTGTTCTTGGTGCCCCACTTCGCAGCTTTTGCATCCTCTCTTGTGGTTGCCTGCTCACTTGCTTCTCTCCACCACTGGGCTATGAGCTGGAGGGCAGGACCTGGTATTCACTGTTCCATCTCCAGCCTTTGACATCACACCTGGAAGGTGGTAGGTGCCAGTGGAAGGCTATGGGTGCATTCACATGGAGAGGTAGATGTGGAGGAAGCCCAGCAGTGGATGTGGTGACACAGCTGGAATAAGGTCAAGGTGGGGTGGGCGCTCTCAGTACAAGAGGGGCTCTAGGGGACTTTGAGGAAGACAGTGCTGGAGTCAGGTGTTGAGAATGCTTTCAGAAACTGCTATTGGGGTGGGATGAGCCCAGGCCCTGGAGCAATTTGCTCTGACACTAACAAAACTCCTAATTATTACCCTTTTAAAGGTACTAATTTTCTTTTAGGACAATATCTTCACTTAAGAAATAGTTCAGCATGTAGACCAACCTTGTTATCAACATAGAAAATCATTAGGAAAAGCAAAAGTGTCCAACAGTGCAACAGATTTTTTTTCTTACTGAATATTACATATCTATTCAAATGATATTGAAAATATATCTAAACATTTAAATGAGAAAGATAAATAGTCTAAAGTTAAGTTTTAAAAAACATATACACAGGGGGCTGGGGAGAGGGCTCAGTAGAATAAGTGCAAGGGCCTGAGT